ATGTTCTTAGAACATGAGCCCGATGTGTCAAAACAAGACTGTGCCCCGGCCAGACATGTTCTAAGAGAATTTCGTGAACAAAATTCAAAACGTTATCAGAACACTGTTTGGTAGGCCTACAGGGACGCCAAGGCACTTCGCCACTGCTTGATGGAGACGAGAGACGCACCTGGCACAACAGCCAGGTGTGCCTTCCGCCACGGCGCGGGGAGGTCAGAGAGCCCACACGCCCAGGCCGGAGCAGGGACCGACCGTGCTGGCATGCCCATAGGCCTACCACGACATGTCCTCAGAGACCGAGCATCTTCTGAAAACATAAACAACGTTCTCAGAACAAACCAAGCCCGATGTGTACTTAAACAGGACAGCCCGAGCCAGAAATGCTCTCAGCACACCCCGCGGAAACCACGGGAACGAAAACTTCTAAGAACACGGTCCGGTGGGCCTCTGGGCAAGCCAGGACGCTTCGCCACTGCTCGACCAAATCCCCCCCCCTTCGGCGGTGGACAAAACTCCCTTTAATAAACCTCCCCTTAGTGAAAACGGCCTGGGACGGAAACCGACGGACCTGGACCCGCAAAAATGGCGGCCGCGACGCCCCCTCGCGAACTGAAAACGGCCAATTCATTAATCGACGTGTCAGGGTAGGAGGTCTATCCACCTCCGACCCCTCTGCCCGTCCTCTTCAGGTAGATGGCCTTGGCGGCCCCGGCCGCTGCCACGGACGCCGGCGTGTGGAAGGCGGGCCGGAGGGGCGGCAGCTTGTCGCGCTGCGGCCGCGGGGGCACCACCGCGGAGGGCACCGCGGGCCGGCGCTGCCGGAGCGCCGCGGCCTCCTCCTCGCGGCGGCCCCCAGCTCTCCCCCCCCTTCAGGAGGAGGAGGAGGAGGAGGAGGAGGGAGGAGGAGGAGGAGGAGGAGGAGGAGGAGGAGGAGGAGGGGACGGGGGGGAGGCAGCAGGCATGCACGGTGCGCCCGTGCTGCTCGTCGGCACCTGCCCCCCCTCGTCGGTCCTCCCCCTTCCTCGCCCTCCCCACGCCCTACACCGCTCTGCATCCCCCTATCGTCCTCCTCCACCGCCCTGCTCCCCCCCCCCCCCTCGCCCCCCACGTGAGACCCCCCCCCCTCTCTCTGTCTCCTGTCTCTGCTCCGAGAGAAGGGCGTGTGGGCAGGAAGGGGTTCTTCACACACCCCCACGGCCTCCGCGGTTACCCTCTCCTCCTCCTCCTCCTCCTCCTCCTCCTCCTCCTCCTCCTCTCCTCCTCCTCCTCCTCCTCCTCCTCCCCCTCCTCCTCCCCTCCTCCTCCTCCTCCTCCTCCTCCTCCTCCCCTCCTCTTCCTCCTCCCCCTCCTCCTCCTCCTCCTCCTCCTCCTCCTCCTCCTCCTCCTCCTCCTCCTCCTCCTCCTCCTCCCTGATGTTTGTTGGCTTCCTGGAGCCCTCGTCGCCACTGCATTCACCTCGAGACCTCTTTTCTGTTTCTGTCGCGACCTCAACCATATGTCAACCAACGCCGCGTCTGCGTCAGAGCTGCCGCCATGGGGGCTGCTGAGTCGCATCAGCGTGGCAGCCGCTGCAATCGATATAGTCCCACCAAGACCATCCCAGATTGTAAGGATTTTGGGGGAAAATCCGAATCAACTCCCCAGGCGTCAGCTGTCACCTCACGCCCGCTCCCTGCAAGCCCAGAGGATCTAGAAGATACACTAGTTCGCTACTGAAGCACGGTCCACATGCCGTCAACTCCCTGAAAGCGGCAGACCACTGCCAGAGGAGTGCCACAGGGCATCGGGGACTAGAAACGGGCAAACGGGCACACTCACCAAGGTCCGACCTTACGGTCGACGCCAAAGCATTCCTGCTGGGGTCAACAAACATGCGCTACCTTAAACCAAGGCATGAGGCAACGCAGTGCCACTCAAAGCCGGACAAATAAGTTGCCTCCTACTGACAATGAGACACAGCTTCCGTCCCAGCCCACGCCCAGATTTTGAGGCCAGGTATCGCGCACGAAGCGCTCACTCGTCCGCCTCCTCGATGAGCTTCCTCAGGTCGAAGGGCGTGAACTTGACGCCGCCTTCCCCACCGCTATTGTAAAACTTGCTCTGGAACTCGACCCAGTGAAGGCGCAGCGTGTGCAGGAAGCACTCCAGGACGTCCATCCCCAGTAACACACCCAGCGTAACCGCAAACCAAATCGTGAAGAGGATGTAGAGCGCGATGCCGTTGACCGGGTACGGCAGCGACAGACCCATCAGCAGCGTCTTCTGGAAGAAGACCGCGGAGAGCTGCTGATGCGCCAGGGACAGCGCCCAGATGCGCAAGTACGAGGCCGTGTGCGAGACGGTGCCGAGGACGTACTCGATCGTCTCGATGACCTGGTGGATGAACACCTCGCCGAACTCGAACTCCCCGTGGCCGTGGCCGTGATGGTGGCCGCTGGCCGCCGCCTCCTCGTCCAGGAGCTCGTGGCCATCCTTGGACTTTTTCTTGCGCTCCTCTGCTTTGTGCTGCGAGAGCAGGATGAACGGCTTCGGCAGGAGCATGACGGGCACGGCGGCCATGCTGAGCTTCATGAACAGCTTCGCTATGTCTGTGGAGCCCTCCCACAGCGGCATCGTGTCCTCCTGCCCCATGGCCATGCAGATGAGGGAGTTGATGATGCTCGGCGGGGCGTCGATGAAGTGCGTCCATTTGTAGAGGATCATCCAATCCATCCAGCCGAAGAAACAGACCATGAAGACCATCATGGGAACGCACTCGCAAATGAAATCGGTCATGCTCCTCCAGTAGAAGGCGTTGCTCCACCTCAGCAGCACGCCGACGGTCATCTGCATCACCCCGAAGAGGACGGACAGCTTCATCTTGAGGGAGTTCACAAACACGAGCTGGTTCGACGCGCCTTCCCACGCCCAATCCAGGCCGAACGGGTACGGGCCCATCGGGTCTTTCCAGGGCGGGTTGTGGTTGGGTTGCCAGTCGTCGCACTCCTTGCAGTCGGCGGGGCCCGTCCCCTGGGAATGAAAGCGCGACTGGAACAGAGGCAGCGCCATCGCGAAGAGATCGTTGTACATGAAACCAGCGAAAACCGCAAAGAAGCCCATGCTCAACACCATGTATCGCATCATGTACAGGACTGGCTGGGAGTATTTGAAGGCGTCCGCCTTCATTACCAGGAAGATGCCGAAGCACAGGAGCAGGGTGCCGTGGCCGATGTCGCCGTACATCATCCCAAAGATGAACGGGAAGGAGATGGTGGTGAAGACCGCTGGATTCGCCTCCTGATACTTGGGAACACCGTAGGTGTCCACCACCTGCTGCCACGGCGCGGTGAAGTCGTTGGAGCGGATGAAGGTGGGCGGCATCGCGCCAGGAGGGCTCTTGACTGACTGCAGGAAAGCGACGTCGCCGGTGCTGGTCTTATGGGAGCGCAGCAGGCCTTTGATGTTATCCTCCTCGATTTTCGGGTACCAGACGTTGACCTGCAGGCTCGCGTCGCCCTGGCACATGTTCAGCACCGAGTAGATGGACTTCTCCTTCATGCAGAACAGGCGCCAGTCCTCGATCTTGGAGTTCGAGTCCATGGCGCTGCTCGCTGGCGCGACGAGCTCGGCGATCTCCCCGGCGACGAAGCTCTTGTGCGCCTCGAGCACCGTCTTCTGCTCCTGCAGCTTGATCTGCAGGGCCACCTTCCTGCCCTCCGCCGTTGTGAAGTTCGTGGGCCAGTCGTAGAGGTTGGCGCCGAAAGCCTGGCAGACCTTGCGGATCTTGGTCTTCACGTAGTCGGTGGTGGCGGCCTGGCCGAAGTACACGACGAAGACGCACTTCTTCGTCGTCTCGCCGAAGCAGGTGTCGCTGAAGATCGCGTACGCGTTGCTGCGCCCGGCTTTCCAGAGGGCGCTGTGGAGCCTCGCCTTGTTCTCCAGGGAGACGACTCCCGTCAGCGAGTCCAGGAGCCTGGATACGCCGCCGTCCTCGCCCATGAGGGGCGCCTCGAGCCCGAGGTCGGCAGGCGAGTCGCCGCTGCTCCCCGAGCTCATCAGCCTAACCGCCTCCTGGGTCACCTGCAGCTCCTCCTCGGTCTTCGCATGGGCGTCTTGCAGGGCATCGTTCCTTCCCTTGAGGCCCACGAAGGTGTCGTATAGCCTCTTGAGCTCCGCCTCGATCGAGTCCAGAGTGTACGCGCCGCTGCTGTCCGCGGCGAAGAACTCGTTGACCCTCTGCTTCGTGATCGACACCGGGCCCGCTTTCTTGATCTCCTCGTTCAGCCAACGGATGATGCGCTCCATCTCGTCGATGCGCTGCACGTGCTTCCGGAACGGCCGGCGCATGTCTTTCATGTCCTCGAACTGGACATTAACCTCTGGGCCGCCCAGTTTCTCGATGTACTGCCGTGAGTCCTGAACGGGGAGGACAAGGACTCCATACTTCATCTCCTGTGAGCGTAGGAAACTCGCCATGCCTGCGTCTGTGACCACGCTCCCACGCGCGCACTAGCCAGGCAATCTTATACGGGCCGACCTTGAGCCGAAATGGCTACAGCGACAACGTGACACGAGCGGGGATCCCCATTTGCTTCCCGCCAACAAAGTTTAGTCATCTGCTACCTCCACTCGTTCAACGCTTCATTTTTCCATGCCTACTCTAGGCACTGTGATCTCTGGCTCTCTCACAGGCTCTCTCTTTTTTTTTTTTCTCTCTCTCTCTCTCTCTCTCTCTCTCCTCTCTCCCTGTTGTTTTCTCTCTCTCTCTCTCTCTCTATATATATATATAAATATATTTATATATGTCAGTATATTCCTCTTTCTACTCCACTCGGCTATATCATGATGTGCACCCTTTAACATGCACGATATACTCTATAATACCATCACCCCCTGCCTCCCACACTACACCTTACCTCTCTACATATAGCCATATAAAAGCTACGGTTCGCGTTCTTGTCTCTACCCTCTCTAATACAACTGCTTTCTGTTATGCTGTTGTGTGCTCTCTATATCCCCTATTCGGCTCTGCTCTCTACTCTCTGTTACGACCTCTCCACTAAACACTCTCTCACCCTGCCCGTGGTCGCAAGGGCCTGGGTACTTGGCCTTTTTGATCCCAAGAGCCCGAGCACCTTCCCTTGTCGGGACACCCTGGGCCCGTAGCTGGGAGCCTGGAAACAAGGCCGTCAACTGAAATCAGACCAGAACCCATAATCAATTACGCTACCGAGGAACCCCACATATTTAATTCAAATCTTCTGTGTTTGCTTAAGCTTATGATATCTGCGCAATTCTGCGTTCTGAGCCCTCGTCGCGAATGTTCCCCTATGTGTCATCCAACGCCATATTGCTTGAACCGCCTCCCTCTTCCTAGCCTTCTATCCTCCATCGAGGGCAGATTCGAGCCAGCCAGCGGCCACGGTGAGGGACCCCCCCCTGCGCACCCCCAATGGTGTCGAGAAAATGCCACGCCTGCTATGCCCTGGACGACCGTCGTGCATAGCGGCTGCGGTCAGGGACCACCCACTGCGCACCCCCTATGGTGTCGAGAAAATGCCACGCCTGCTATGCCCTGGACGACCGTCGTGTATAGCGGCCGCGCTGAGGGACCACCCCCTGCGCACCGCCAGTGGTGTCGAGAAAATGCCACGCCTGCTATGCCCTGGACGGCCGTCGTGTATAGCGGCCGCGCTGAGGGACCCCCCCCTGCGCACCCCCTGTGGTGTCGAGAAGGTGCCACGCCTGCTACGACCTGGACGACCGTCGTGCATAGCGGCCGCGCTGAGGGGCCACCCCCTGCGCACCCCCTATGGTGTCGAGAAAACGCCACGCCTGATATGCCCTGGACGACCGTCGTGTATAGCGGCCGCGCTGAGGGACCACCCACTGCGCACACCCCATGGGGTCGAGAAAATGCCACGCATGCTATGCCCTGGACGACCGTCGTGCATAGCGGCCGCGCCCTGCGCACCCCCTATGGCGTCCAGAATGTGCTACGCCTGCTATGCCCTGGAACACCATCGTGTACAGCGGCCGCGCTGAGGGACCACCCCCTGCGCACCCCTTTTATGGTGTCGAGCAGGTGCCACGCCTGCTATGCCCTGGACGGCCGTCGTGTATAGCGGCCGCGCTGAGGGACCACCCCCTGCGCACCCCTTTTATGGTGTCGAGCAGATGCCACGCCTGCTACGCCCTGGACGACCGTCGTGTATAGCGGCCGCGCTGAGGGACCACCCCCTGCGCACCGCCAGTGGTGTCGAAAAATGCCACGCCTGCTATGCCCTGGACGACCGTCGTGTATAGCGGCCGCGGTGAGGGACCCCCCCCTGCGCACCCCCTGTGGTGTCGAGAAGATGCCACGCCTGCTATGCCCTGGACGGCCGTCGTGTATAGCGGCCTGCGCACGCCCCTATGGTGTCGAGAAAATACCACGCCTGCTATGCCCTGCTGTGCTGAACTGAGCTGTGCTGTGCTGTGCTGAGCTGAGCTGTGCTGAGCTATGCTGAGCAGTGCTGTGCTGTGCTGTACTGTGCTGTGCTGTGCTGCGCTGTGTGAGAAAGGGGAGCGAGAGGTGAGGTGAGTGAGCGCGGGTGCGACGAGGCAAGGAAGAAAACCGGACCCCCACTAAGCATGTGGGGAATGCCACGCCTGCTATGCCCTGGACGACCGTTGTGCATAGCGGCCGCGCTGAGGGACCACCCCCTGCGCACCCCCTATGGTGTCGAGAAAATGCCACGCCTGCCATGCCCTGGACCACCGTCGTGTATGGCGGCCACGCTGAGGGACCACCCCCTGCACACCCCCAGTGGTGTCGAGAAAATGCCACGCCTGCTATGCCCTGGACGACCGTCGTGTATAGCGGCCGCGCTGAGGGACCACCCCCTGCGCACCCCCAAGGGTGTCGAAAAAATGCCACGCCTGCTATGCCCTGGACGGCCGTCGTGTATAGCGGCCGCGCTGAGGGACCACCCACTGCGCAACCCCTATGGTGTCGAGAACATGCCACGCATGCTATGCCCTGGACGACCGATAACGGCCGCGCTGAGGGACCACCCCCCTGCGCACCCCCTATGGTGTCGAGAAAATGCCACGCCTGCTATGCCCTGGACGACCGTCGTGTATAGCGGCCGCGCTGAGGGACCACCCCCTGCGCACCCCCATGGTGTCGAGAAAATGCCACGCCTGCTATGCCCTGGACGACCGTCGTGTATAGCGGCCGCGCTGAGGGACCACCCCCTGCGCACCCCCAATGGTGTCGAGAAAATGCCACGCCTGCTATGCCTTGGACGGCCGTCGTGTATAGCGGCCGCGGTGAGGGACCACCCCCTGCGAACACCCTATTGTGTCGAGCAAATGCCACGCCTGCTATGCCCTGGACGGCCGTCGTGTATAGCGGCCGCGCTGGGGGACCACCCCCTGCGCACCCCCTATGGTGTCGATAAAATGCCACGCGTGCTATGCCCTGGACGACCGAGAAAATGCCACGCCTGCTTTGCCCTGGACGACCGTCGTGTATGGCGGCCACGCTGAGGGACCACCCCCTGCGCACCCCCTATGGTGTCGAGAAAATGCCACGCCTGCTATGCCCTGGACGACCGTCGTGTATAGCGGCCGCGCTGAGGGACCACCCCCTGCGCACCCCCTATGGTGTCGAGAAAATGCCACGCCTGCCATGCCCTGGACGACCGATAACGGCCGCGCTGAGGGACCACCCCCCTGCGCACCCCCTTTGGTGTCGAGAAAATGCTACGCATGCCATGCCCTGGACGGCCGTCGTGTATAGCGGCCGCGCTGAGGGACCACCCCCTGCGCACCCCCTATGGTGTCGAGAAAATGCCACGCCTACTATGCCCTGGACGACCGTCGTGTATAGCGGCCGCGCTGAGGGTCCACCCCCTGCACACCCCCAATGGTGTCGAGAAAATGCCACGCCTGCTATGCCCTGGACGGCCGTCGTGTATAGCGGCCGCGCTGAGGAACCACCCCCTGCGCACCCCCTATGGTGTCGAGCAAATGCCACGCGTGCTATGCCCTGGACGACCGTCGTGTATGGCGGCCACGCTGAGGGACCCCCCCTGCGCACCCCCAATGGTGTCGAAAAATTGCCACGCCTGCTGTGCCCTGGACGACCGTCGTGTATAGCGGCCACGCTGAGGGACCACCCCCTGCGCACCCCCTACGGTGTCGATACCATGCCGCGCCTGCTATGCCCTGCTGTGCTGGGCTGAGCTGAGATGTGCTGTGCTGAGCTGAGCTGAGCTGTGCTGAGCTATGCTGAGCAGTGCTGTGCTGTGCTGTGCTGCGCTGTGTGCGAAAGGGGAAGAGGGAGGTGAGGTGAGGGAGCGCGGGTGCGGCAAGGCATGGAAGAAAACCAGAAGCCCACTAACCATGTGGGGAAAAGCACAGAAACCCGACCGCACACCGAGATCGCCTGAGCATTCTGGCCAAAGCCTCCATCATTTGCGAGGACCACATTCAGAGCAACTCCTGAGGGAAAAAACACAGATGCGTGCTTGCAACCTATTCTGGCTCCGTAGCTGTCACGGAACGATCCACCTGGGAAAGGGGGTGGGCATCCAAACCCCTGGAAGGGATGGGGCGGCAATGTAGAGGCTGACGGAAGATGATACTTTTACGTAGTGGAGATGCCACCGGTAGCGTCATATCGGCGCAAAAGAGCGAGCCAGGCCTCAGTCCTGCAGCGCTATGACCATCACGCCACTCGCATTGGTGGCGGGCGCGTGGGGTTGTACGATGGAATGGGGTTATAACCTGATGCATCTGCGGCAGGCGTGTGGGATGGGTCTACGCGGTGTGCAAATGGCGTCGACTCCGTCGCAGCGGCTGCCGCCTTCGCGTTGCTGATGTACTGGACCATCTTGTCGACCTTTTCTCCGAAAGAGAAGGGGGGGAGTGGAAGGCACGACTGAAGAGGAGGAGGGGGAGGAGGGGGAGGAGGACTAGGAAGAAAAACCGACCTCCTGGTCGGGGGTGAGGCCCTCGTCCCACGTGTCCCAGAAACCCTGGAAATTCCTCGCGTTGCTGGATACCGCCATCCGCGGCGGGGGGGCCGCCTTGATACTTCCGGGAACAGGGATGTTGCGTGCCGTGAAGTACGCAGGGTTGACAAACACGTGGTCGTGGTAGTCGTAGCTCGGCGTGGTGTCCGTGGTCAGATACGCGTCCAGCCCGCCGATGTAATTGAAACCTGCGCTCTGGAAGATCGACCAAATGAGGTCCGTGGTTTCGGACTTGGACCTGGACTGGACCCACCGCGAGTCACCAAGGCCGGCAGTACGACCGTCATAACTGATGAGAACGACACCTGGGAGGGCAAATACACAACCATGCCTGAGCCCTCCCGCGCCCTCCCCCTCCTGCTCGGAGGTGGAGGGCGGATGGGCGGTGCATGCGTGAGTATGGGCACGTTTCGCTGGGCTGCCGCAGCACCGAACTCGATGTTGCTCCCTGAGTAGAGCAGGGTTTCGTTGAGGACCTCGGCCTCGTAATTGCCGGTGTTGAGGTTCCAGAAGTCCACCTGGGACGGGGGGGTGGGGGGGGCCTGCTGCCGCCGCCAATGCGATGCACTACCCCCTCCCGTCCGCCCTCGCGAGGGGCCAAGAAACGAAGGATAGGGAAACGCAGGCCTCGGAGCGGACGCGAGTCCGTGTTCGGAGGTTCTCTTAATTTCTCTGTGTTCGGTGATGTCGAAAGTGGTGGATGCCGTGGCAATGGACACTCTCACAATCCTATCATTGCGTTAAAAAGGTGTTTCACATGTTTGGGAGCCCTCCCAAACAAGTAAAACATGTTTGCACGTGTTACAAAGTACATGTAGACATGTGGAATTTGTGTGGCAACACGTTTCCTCTCTACTGAGTGTCGACTACAAGTCAAAAAGCTTGCGGGGCGCTCCGGAGGGGGATTCGAAGATGGCTGCTAGAAAGTTGTGCCTCGAGTGTGCTGGGATGTCGGTAAGATCTGTAATCGTCTTGGAGGGGCGCAGAAGTCACCCCAC